GTTATCGGAAACGACAACATAATCAGCCAAAACGACAACGTTGTTGTGGATTTCCTCCGACACGCACTTAGTACCTGATGCCGGTAGATTCAACCATACGGCTTCGCTAACCATGAAAAGATTGCAGCTACAGATCAATACTCCTAAAATGCAAACCAATACCAACTTTCCACGCACGCCCATCTCTCTCCCTCCCTTCTTTCTGGTTATTGGGCTATGAGATCGAAATGAAAGAAACGGAGATGATGAGTTACGATATACTCTGCACTTCTCTCCGGTAACCGATGCACCGTTTTGCTTCTGTTTTAATTTTTCTTTTAAAATTATTGATTTCATGAATTTATTGATTCTTCGGTTGGACCCGGTCCACTAAAATGAGAGAGTTCTTGGGCTTCCATAGTTCACTGGGCCGCCCAGTTCTTTTCCCTTTACATAAATTTCGAGATTAGTAATTTTTATCTCGGTATTGACTCGAAAAATCTATTATTTAAAGTTTGATATGAGTTAAATTTCAAGTTGAGCCGGTTTTGACATTAGTCAGGTGTATTTAATTGACTCAGCCAAGTTAGCTCATAACATAATTAACTCATCCAAGGTATTTTTGTTTATACATTTTAAAAATAGTATTTTTATATATTTACATCAAAAATAATTTTTTAAAAATAAAAAAAAAATCATTAACATATATTTTAATACAAAAAATTATTTGAAAAACAACTGCAATCACATTATTAAACAATCTCGTTCAAACTTTACAGATTCAACCTCGAGAATTTTAAAATAAAAAATAAAAATAATATTATTTTGAATAAAAATAATAAATTTAGAGTATTATTAAAGAATTAACTAATAAAAATAGTAATTCAAGATATTTTTTTGGATCTATCTCAGGCTAAATTGATATATATAATTTTTTTTGGGTTATAACTAGTTTCCTCTAGCTTGAATTTTATTTTATTATCATAAAATAAATATAAAACAAAAATAATAATTAGTTATTTTTAGTAATATTGTTATTATTATTTGAGAAATTAAAGAAGGTTTGCATTGAGAAAGTAAAAGGTGACATGAAATTTAATAAGTTGGGAGATGATATTAGGAAATCATTGGTAATCCTAAGATACAATTCATTAATATTATTATTGTAAATATCTTCGTTTTTCCACTTAGCTTTTTGTAACATCTCCTAAACTTGGAAAGATAACATTTTCAATTGAAGACCGAAAGAAAGTAGTTTTGTTGACATTGTTAACTCAAAATAACAATTGCAATAAAATTATTTTTATTGACAATTCCGATTGACTATATGTTTGTTTAAATAATTATAATGAAAGATATATACATATACATACATATATATATATATATATAACAAAAGATGTTTGTTAGATACATATAATTAACAAATCGTGTGCCTGGTTTTAACAGATCGTGTGCCTGGTTCTGACACAATATAATATTATTATTAATATTATAAATATTATTTTTTTAATTATTGTTAGTATAATTATTAAAAAAATTCAACAAAAATATTATTGGTATTGAAAAAACTCATTGATTTCATTTGAAATGTAAAAATAAAAATTATTATTATTGTCATTGTCATTAATAAATTTAAAAAAATAATATTGTCACTATTAAAGAAAAACCATAAATTTAATTTAAAGAGATTAAAAACTATAAGAACTTGGGTTCAGTAAGTTTAATATTATTATTAATATTGTTATTTTCATTATTGTTAATATTATTAAATTGAAAAAAAAAATTATTGCTATAAAAAAAACTATAGAATTGATTTGAAGGGAAAAATTAAAAAAAATTTATTGGTATTGTTATTGTCATTGTTGTTGTTGTTGTTGTTGTTATCATTATTGTTAATATTATTTATATAATTATTTATAAATTTGAAGAAAATAATTATTACTGTTAAAGAAAAACCATAAATTTGATTTGAAAAGTAAAATTAAAAATTATAAGAACTTAAGTTGGGCTTGTTTAATATTATAAATATTATTATTTTTATTATTCTTAATATTATTCGTATGGTTATGAATAAATTTTTTAAAAAAATATTGCTATGGAAAAGAAACCATAAATTTGATTTGAATAGTATTATTATTATTATTATTTGTATTATTGTTAATATTATTTATATAATTATTAATAACTATGAAAACGATATTATTACTATTGAAAAAAAAAAGTAATAATGTCACATCAAAGTCTAACATGGCCATACCCCAAAAACCAGACTCATATACCTTGAATAAGTCCTTCATAGACTCAATTATCTTAAGCCTGGCAAGGACAATAGATCCTAGTAAATTGGGTTTATAAGAAGATGTTATATCAAAAAAATTTAAGTCAAGCCCAAGTTACATGGCTCAGGAAAGG